CTCCGGCGCCCTGGCATCTGTCTCCCGCCGGCGGCCACACTTTCCCAAGCCACGCGACCCCGGCCCAGGATCCGCGCCGCATAAGGCCCTTTTGCCCCTGCTGACCCGCAGTGCTCTCGACCTTATGGCCGCTGCTCTGAGCGCGGCTTCTTTCGGCGAAGATCTTTTTCTCCCTCTTTTTCTCTTTTCGTCTCCTTTTCTCTTCCATTTTTCTCTGTTCTTTTAAATCGTTTGTTATCTTACGCGTTGTTGAATGCGTTTATGGAAGAGGGTTGCGATGGCCATTTCCCTTTGCTGGCGTGATGCACATATTGTCTCATCTTACGTACACGAAGCTAAAGGTATATATGAAAAACCGAACCACAGAAATACAGTTACGCCAAGCTGTCTATTTTGAAGACATACAATAAATTAACTGATTTTTTTAAAATTAAATAAATTAACATTCTTTGAAAAAAAAACACCTCCGCGAGTCTGCTGACCGTCGACACAAAGGAAACCATCACAGACATTCGAAGGACACCATTCTGCGCTTTGCAAAGGGTTTACCTTCAGCACCAAGCGAGTCGGCGCAAACATTTGGCGTGAAGATGTGCGGGGAGACTGGCGACCCGCGGAGGAAACTCACTTGGAAAGGGGGGGGGGTTGTGGGTTTTCTCTTTCTGATATTTGGATTTAGTTTTTTGTTGTTATGTTGTTTTAGTTGTTGTTGATATTATTATTATTAATGTTATTATTATTATTATTGTTATTATTATTATTATTGTTATTATTGTTATTGTTATTATTATTATTATATTATTATTATTATTATTATTATATTATTAGTGTTTTTATTGTTATCAATATTGATAATTATTGTTAATAATTAGTCATTACTGCTAATGTTGTCTGAATAGAGTATGTATAGCCTTATTTGCCTTTTGTTTCGGGAGTTGATTACTGACGTTTCCCGTCTCCCAGGGTACACGGGGCAGCACTGCGAGGTCGACGTGGACGAGTGCGCGTCGCGGCCGTGCAAGAACAACGGCATTTGCAGCGATCTGATCAACGAGTACCGCTGCAGCTGCATCCAGGGCTTCACGGGCCGCCAGTGCCACATCAACATCGACGACTGCGCCTCGCAGCCGTGCCAGCACGGAGGCACTTGCGTGGACCGCGTGGCCGGCTACAGCTGCCGCTGCAGCCGGGCTTCACGGGAACCAACTGCGAGACCAACATCGATGACTGCCTCTCGTCGCCGTGCCGCCACGGCTCGTGCCTGGACGGCAACAACTCGTTCACGTGCATGTGCCACGCCGGCTATACGGGCCTGCTGTGCCAGACGGAGATCGACGAGTGCGCGTCCACGCCGTGCCAGCACGGGGGCTCCTGCAAAAACCTCATCAACAGCTACAAGTGCATCTGCCCCGAGGGCACGGCGGGCATCAACTGCGAGTTCAACATCAACGAGTGCTTCAGCAACCCGTGCCGCAACGGCGCCAAGTGCGAGGACGGAATCAACGAGTACTGGTGCGAGTGCGAGCCCGGCTTCACGGGCCGCTTCTGCGAAACCAACATCGACGACTGCCTGTCGCAGCCGTGCGCCAACGGCGGCGTGTGCATCGACGAGGTAAATGGCTTCCGGTGCCAGTGCCCGTCGGGCTACTTCGACGCCCGCTGCCTCTCCAACGTGAACGAGTGCGCCAGCGACCCCTGCCTCAACGGCGGCTCCTGTTACGATGACGTCAACCGCTTCAACTGCAAGTGCCCGCCGGGCTACACGGGCCACCGCTGCGAACAGGAGATCGACGAGTGCCAGTCCAACCCGTGCCAGCACGGCGGCACCTGCAGGGACGCGCTCAACGCTTACACCTGCTCGTGTCCCCCCGGCTACTCGGGCCGCAACTGCGAGATCAACATCGACGACTGCCTGAGCCGCCCCTGCAAGAACGGCGGCACCTGCATCGACCTGGTCAACTCCTACAAGTGCGTGTGCGAGCTGCCGCACACCGGGAGGAACTGCGAGGTGCGCATGGACCCCTGCAGCCCCAACAAGTGTCGCCACGGCGCCCGCTGCACACCCACCGCCAACTTCTTGGACTTCACGTGCGAGTGCGAGCTGGGCTACACCGGCCGCCTCTGCGACGAGGACATCAACGAGTGCGCTATGTCCCCATCCCCGTGCAAGAACGGCGCCAGCTGCCTCAACACCAACGGCTCGTACTCGTGTCTTTGCGCCAACGGCTACGAGGGGCGCGAGTGCACCATCAACACCAACGACTGCGCCCTGCACCCGTGTCGCAACGGCGGCACCTGCCTCGACGGCATCGGCAGGTACAAGTGCCTGTGCGTCGACGGCTTCGGCGGCACCAACTGCCAGCACGACCTCAATGAGTGCAACTCCAACCCGTGCCAAAACGGGGCCACCTGCAACGACTACGTCAACTCGTACACCTGCACGTGCCCGCTCGGCTTCTCGGGCACCAATTGCGAGATCAACGACGAAGACTGCACGGAAACCTCTTGCATGAACAACGGCAGTTGCATCGATGGAATCAACAACTACACGTGCGAGTGCATGGCGGGCTTCACGGGCTCCCACTGCCAGCACCGGATCAACGAGTGCCACTCGAACCCGTGCGAGAACGGCGGCACGTGCAACGACCACGTGGGCTTCTTCACATGCCACTGCCTGTACGGCTATACCGGCCAGCGCTGCGAGCGGGTGATGGACTGGTGCTCGAGCTCCCCTTGCTTCAACAACGGCGTCTGCACGCAGAAGCTCAATCGCTTCGAGTGCAAATGTACTCCAGGATGGACGGGTCCCCTCTGCGACGTGGCCATGGTGTCCTGTGAAACGGCTGCGGCCAGCAAAGGCGTCGCTGTTTCGCAGCTGTGTCTGCACGGCGGCATCTGTCATGATAGAGGCAACACGCACAAGTGCGACTGCCGCACCGGCTACACGGGCTCCTACTGCCAGCACGAGATCAAGGAGTGCGACTCTCAGCCCTGTATGAACGGAGCCACCTGCAACGACCACATCGGCTCGTACTCATGCGCGTGCCGCCCGGGATTCCAGGGGCCCAACTGTGAGTACAACATCGACGACTGCAAGCCCAACAACCCGTGCCAGAACGGAGGCGTCTGCCACGACCAGATCAACGGCTTCCAGTGCTCCTGCCCGCACGGCACTCTGGGCAAGCTCTGCGAAATCAACACCAGCGACTGCTACGAGGGCGCCTGCCACAACGGAGGCACCTGCGTGGACAAGGTTGGCGGCTTCGAGTGTAGGTGCAAGCCGGGGTATGTCGGCGCGCGGTGCGAGGGCGACGTGAACGAGTGCTTGTCCTTCCCATGTTACAAGGAAGGGACAGCCGACTGCGTGCAGTTGGTCAACGATTACTTGTGCAACTGCCGGCCAGGGTTCATGGGGCGGCACTGCGAGAGCAAGCGGGACTTCTGCGCCGAGTCTCCATGTCAAAATGGCGGTGTTTGCAGCAACACCGAGGAAGGCTACTCGTGCCACTGCATGGACGGCTTCATCGGCAAGTCGTGCGAGTTCCCGACAGACGATTGCGACCACCACCAGTGCGGGCCCGGCGAGGTATGTCGTCCGTATGAGAAGGGGATCGAATGCGTGCCCAAGGAGTACCCTTGCTCCTCCAACCCCTGCACGCACGGAGGCAATTGTCTGGACCGGGTGACCTACTTCGAGTGCCACTGCCCGCCGCGCTGGAACGGGAAAAGGTGCGAGGTGAGCGACCCCACGTTCAATGGCGGGATCGGCCACGACGTCCCCACCAACCTCACTCTGGAGCGCGAGTTGTGCCGCCTGCACAAGTGTGATGAGAAGAAGAACAACCTGCGCTGCGATGCCGAGTGCAGCTCCTTTGCCTGCGATTACGACGGCTACGAGTGCTCATATGGACGCAACCCGTGGGCGTTCTGCGACGCAGACATTAATTGCTGGGAGGTATTCGGCGACGGAGTGTGCAACTCAGAATGCAACAACGCAGCCTGTCTCTTTGATGGCTTGGACTGCCGCAAACCCGTCGGAACGTGCAATCCAATATACGACGCCTACTGCGCCACCAACTACGAGAACGGCCACTGCGACCAGGGCTGCAACGTCGCCGAGTGTGGCTGGGACGGCCTCGACTGCGAGAAAGAGCCCCCCAACATCATGAACGGCCAGCTCCAGCTGGTGGTGGAGGCCAGCAGTGCGGACTTCCAGACTGCCAAGAAGGCCTTCATCAGGGATCTCAGCCGGTTCCTGGGCGTGCATCTGGTGATCATGAGAGACCAGTCCAACCAGGAGATGATCTACCCGTACGACCAGGATGGTATCCAGGGGCTGCTCGTTTACTTCGAGATCGACAACCGCCGGTGCGCAAAGGGCGACCAGTGCTTCGACAGCGTCAAAGACGTTGCGAACTTCTTGGCTGCTAACAAGCTCCATCTGCAAACCGACGCAGGTCTTACCATCTCTGGGGTGCACGTGTCGGGGCCACCGACACCTCCTCCAGGCTACACGTACATCATTGTGGGCATCGTGTTTGCCATGGTCCTGGTGGGCATCATTTTCATGGTTATCACCAACAACCGAAAGCGCATGAGGGGTGTGACGTGGTTCCCCGAAGGATTCTTCCCAAAATACTCGAACAGCTCAAGTAGTGGCCTGGAGCCGGCTCGCAGGAAGGTCCCTGACGGCCAGGAGATGCGCAACTTCAACAAGGGCGCCTCCTCGCACCACCTCGCCGACATGGGCGACGATAGCATCAGCCGTCACCTGCCCATGCCGGGACCGGTGGGCGACTGGTCCGACGACGACAGCGAGCACCCGCCCACGAAGCGCTCACGCCACGAGGGAGGCTTCACGGACCAGACCCACCTGGCCGACTACGACGACGCGAACGACCCCCGCGTGTGGACGCAGCAACACCTCGACGCCGCAGACATCAAGAACCCTGACTTGTTGGCCCTGACTCCGCCGCAGGCCGAGCCCGAGGACCACCGCGGCGTGGCAGGTGACGTCAACTCCAAGGGACCCATGGGACTCACGCCCCTCATGATCGCCTCCTTCAGGGGTGGCGGACTCGAGAGCCACCCTGACGAGGACGACAAGGACGGCTCGGCGGCGGTTATCCAGGAACTCATCGAACAGGGAGCCAAACTGAACGCCAAGATGGACCGAACAGGAGAGACGTCGCTTCACCTTGCTGCTAGGTCAGTGGCCCCGAAAGATTCTTCCGAATCACGAGATTGAGTTGTTACTCTTTATGTGGATTAATTTGTTAATTAACTCTCCGTAGTTAAATATTTCCCCTAATTTGAGTTCTATAATAAGCATGGATACAAACTCGTTCCTTAATGCCTAATGAAACTTTTCTATTCCAGATATGCACGTGCAGATGCTGCTAAGCGACTGTTAGATGCAAAGGCTGACGCCAACGCCCAGGACTCCACCGGACGCACGCCCTTACACGCTGCCGTCGCTGCAGATGCCCAAGGAGTGTTCCAGGTAAGGACTGATGGTCAAAGTTTGTATTGATTGCTAAGAAAGAAAAAATGGAAGTAGGAATGAGATATTTTATTACATTAAAACAAAAATCATTCGGCAATTTTCTCGAAAACAAGCAAAGATTCCAATTTGAATTTCTTCCCTACAGATCTTATTAAGAAATCGTTCAACCGATTTGAACGCTAAGATGAACGATGGAACCACTCCGCTGATCCTGGCCGCCCGTCTAGCTATCGAAGGCATGGTGGAGGACCTTATCAATGCTGACGCTGACATTAATGCTGCTGACGATCTCGGAAAGACTCCGCTTCACTGGGCCGCATCTGTCAACAACGTGGAAGCTGTGCAGATTCTGCTGGCCCACGGTGCCAATCGCGATGCCCAAGACAACAGGGTAAGCTTTTCTAAATTGTTGTTCATACTTGTAAGAAACTGTTGCCTGGAGTCAGTTCAGGAAATTTGATTGAGTTTTTGGTATTGTTGGAGATCCTAGTAGTTTCTTGCTACTTTTTTTTTTTAATTATGCTACCTATTACGTGTAGGTATTACACTGTTTTGTTTTTACTAATCGTAATTTTTTTTTTTTAAAATTTACGTGTTTACCATTTATATTAACCTTAGTGTTTTAATGATTTCTCTTAACTGTAATGTTTTAATTCTCCTAATTTTTCCAGGACGAGACTCCACTGTTCCTTGCCGCACGGGAAGGAAGCTACGAAGCTTGTAAGGTCCTGCTGGACCACTTTGCCAATCGCGACATCACCGACAACATGGAGAGACTTCCGGAAGACGTGGCCAACGAGCGACTGCATCACGACATTGTGCGACTGTTGCGCGAACATCACCCACGATCCCCACAGATGGCGCAGGTGGTGACAACGTCCCACCTGGTAAACCAACAGAGCCAGCCCTCGTTGTTGGCGCAACAACAGATGGCGCCTCAGCCCGCACAGAGGACCAATACTCAGCCCAAAGCCAAGGCTAGGCGGCCCAAGTCCTCCGTGATGGCACTCCCGGGCTCGTCTAACATCAACACGCCCGTAAGCCCCGATGGCACCACGTCCATCAAACGCAGCTCCAGCGTCAAAAAGAAGAGGGAGAACACGGGGGTGCCGAGCGTGGAGTCACAGGCCCAGCTATCTCCCTTGAATTCATTGGGGTCGCCGCACGATATGTTCGCGGCCGCGACCAGCCCCTTCGAGACCGGCCTTTACACCGCCGGGATGCCCAGCTTGAATCCCCATTTCGGCGAGCTGGCAGTGCCGCAGCCGCCCTCCTACGACGAGTGCGTCAAAGCCACAGTGTCCATGAGCAACTTGCAGCAGATCGGGGACCACGATAACAACCCCTTCAGCTACTCGAACATGATGGGCGCGCACCAACACCAAAGCCATCATCAGGGCCACGTGGTTCACCAGCGCCAGCAATCTATGCCGGCCTCCTTCTCGCCACAGAGCCAGGCCACGTCCCCTCCACATCACATGACCCCGCCACACAGCACGTCTTCGCCACAGCACGTGCACTCGCCACACGCAGCGGCCAACGTCACCTCCCCAGGCAAGATGAGGCCAGCGCTCCCCACCTCCCCGACACACATGGCGGCTCTGCGGCAAGCAACTGCTAATACGGGGTTTGAGTTCCCGTCTGTTAGCGCAGCTGGCTATAGCCTACAAGGTCAACAACAACATCAACAACAGCAGCAGCAGCAGCAACAACAGCAACAGCAGCAACAACAACAACAACAACAGCAGCAGCAGCAGCAGCAGCAACAGCACCATCAACACCAACAGCAGCACCCACAGCCACACCAAGGTGGCAGCGGGTTTTACCCACACTACCCCACGCCCCCGTCCCAGCACTCCGGGATGGAGGCGACGCCACAACACAACGGCGCACCGAGTGCGCACGACCCTTTTCCGACCCCTTCGCCTGAGTCTCCTGGGCAGTGGTCGTCTGCCTCACCTCGGAGCCAGAGTGACTGGTCAGAGGGCGTCCGGTCCCCACTAGGGCCCCCTGGGGTTCCTCCACATCACCAAGTATTCTCTGTGGGTCAGCAACAGCAGCAGCAGCAGCAACAACAGCAGCAGCATCAGCAGCAGCAACAGCAGCAGCAACAGCAACAACAAGCAGCCCCGCAACCTCTTGGATTACCCCCACAGGGGTCTATCTATATCTAGAAAAAAAATTGTGCCAATAGTTCTCTAGTGTACAGTGCTGCCCCTATGTACAGTGCTGCGTGTACTATACTCGCCTGGGTTGATTGCCCTGCTGTGTACATACCGCGCTAATAACTGCCCCGCTGTACTTAGCGTGCAAATCAGTACAATCAATATTCTATGGACCTTTGCGTATCGCAGGCCTAGTGTAAAGCGGTAGAGACCGTAATATGTACAGTGTTCACGCGGAACAATTTGCAATATAGTTGTAGTGGTGAGGTAAGGAGGAGTGTCTTTCATGGGTCGCTCGTGTGGGAGCTGTGTTCACTAGCGACACTCAGAGCGCTAAGAAACATGCATTTCAAAATTACAGTGGCTGTAAGAATCTATGACAAATTTCGTATTGACTATTTGTTTATCAGTTTTGACATGTGTATGCATATGTGTTTATATATGTATATGTATGTATGTATATATATATATATATATATATATATATATATATATATATATATGAACATATATTTTAGATAATGCAATTAGAGACTGTAAAAAGCGCTCTCAGCACATGACGGTGGCTCTGTCAGTATAGACAATTTTCATTATCAGTGACCACTTTATATGTGATACGTTGTTTAGTATATGAATTTTATGACCATGTCTTCGTTTAATTTGTTTTTAAGGTTAATGCTATGTCAAATATTAGCATAGGAACTTTGCAAACCGATCTCTTTAGGGTATTTTTGAATTATATTTTTTATGAATTCATATCCTTATGAACAAAAAAAATATGTGATTTCGAGAATTGCATATATGAAATTTCAGTTTTATTACTATATTTCCTTTTGAGCATAAGACATGAACAAATGTAAACAATTTATAGGGTGCTTTACCATGGGAAATATAAAGTGCCTCTTGTAAAATATTACTCATTATTTTGTTTTCTTTATTTGTAAGCATTTGTTATAATGAATGTTTGGACACTGTGGGTATTGCAAGGCAGTGACATCCTCTTTCACCTATGTACATTTTTGACAATCTCACAATTGATATGAGTTTTAAATTGTTATTTGCATTTATAAGAAATAGTTATGTTAATGAATTTTCTCACAAGCACTTGTGTAATGTCTGACATGCCCACATTTCATGAGCCCACAAAAGTGGGTTTGTGAATCAAAGAATGTATGAATTGAATGTATGCATTTTGTCCACATGAGGGTGTGCAAGTAAAATCGACAAATAAATACTTGATTTTGTAAA